GAATAAAAGTGGCTAGAGTGAATAGCCTTGTCTTATTTGTGATCTTAGGGGAAAAGCTCTGTTTTTCACCATTGAGTATGATAGCTGTGGAGTGTCATATATGGCCTTTATTATATTGATGTATGTTCCCACTATACCCACATTGTTGAGAGTTTTTATCATGAAGAGAGGTTGAATTGTGTCAAATGCTCTTTCTGCATCTATTGAGATGATCATATGATTTTTATCCTTCATTTTGTTACTATGGTACACCCATTGATTGATTTGCAGATACTGAACCATCCTGGAATCACCCAAATAAATCCCACTTGATTGTGGTTAATGATCCTTTATTGTATCATTGAATGTGGTGTTGAGGATTTTTGCATCTATATTCATCAGGGATATTGGCCCGTAGTTTTGTTTTGTAATGTCCATCTGGTTTTGGTTTCAGCATAATGCTGCTTTGTAGGAAGAACTTGGAAGCTTTCCTTCTTCTTTTATTCTTTGAAATAGTTTGAAGAGAATAGGTATTAACTATTCTTTAAATGTTTGTTAGAATTGTGAAGCCATCTAGACCGGGATTCTTATTTGTTGAGAATTTTTTATTATTATTATTGAATCATTTCATTACCAGTAGTCATTCTTCCTCATTCATTTTTGAAAGATTGTATATTTCTAGGAATTTATTTATTTCTTATAGGATGTCCATTTTGTTGGCATATAATTGTTCATAGTCTCTTCTCATTCTTTGTATTTCTGTGGTGTCAACTGTCCCTTCTCTTTCATTTCTTTTTTTTTTTTAAGATTTTATTTATTTATTTATTTATTTATTCATGAGAAGCAGAGAGAAGCAGAGAGAGAGAGAGAGGCAGAGGCACAGGCAGAGGGAGAAGCAGGCTCCATGCAGGGAGCCTGATGCAGGACCCCATCCCCAATCCTGGGATCAGGCCCTGAGCCGAAGGCAGATGCTCAACTGCTAGATATGTTCTCATTGCCATTTTGCTAATTCTTTTCTGGTTGTTCTTGTCTGCTTCTTTCTTCCTCTCTTGGTCTCTTTCCTTGTGATTGGTGACTTTTAAATGTTTTCTGGGTGGCTCAATCAGTTAAGCCTCTGCCTTCAGCTCAGGTCATGATCTCAGGGTCCTGGGATAGAGCCCCACTTCACACTCCTTGCTCAGCAGGGAGTCTGCTTCTCCCTCTCCTTCTGTTCCTCCCCACTGTTTATGTGTTCTCTCTCCATCTGTCTCAAATAAATGGAATCTTTTTTTGAAAAAAAAAAAAAAGTTTTCTGTTTTGCTAGGCTGCCCCTATCCAAACCTTCAGGTAGAGTAGATTTTTGTTGGGGGTATTTAAAAAAAAAATTGTCGGTGCTCATGGGCATTTTCAATTTGCTGACTTTTTCAGCTCCAAGTCTAGGATGTATTAGGCAAAAAGAAAACCCAGGGAACTCACTACCATATTGTTCTTTTAGCTTAGCCAGTCCGCCTCCTTCTCTTTACCAGTGTTTGTTTTATAGAAAATCCCAGGTTTTTAGTTGTATTCAATAAGAAAATAGGGGAAAGTGCATCTACTTCATCTTTCTGGAAGTAGAAGTCACTGGAAGTGACAACATTATTAATCTATGTAGGTACCTATAAATACAATGCAGAACTCTCTGGGAAAAGCTGGATTGGGGAATGGAGCTTGGAGCTGAGCTGAAGTGGAGGTTCCTTAAGTCCAGGTCTGGGCCTTGAAACCTACACATTCTGGCAAGTGTGCAGAGCATATAAATTTAACAACTTAGATAAAATGGACTAATTCCTTAAGAGTCATAAACTACCAAAACTCACTGAAGGTGAAATAATCAGAGTATTCTACAACTCTTAAAGAAGTTGAATTCATACTTCTTTTAAAGCTCCTGAAATAAGAAACGATCAGGCCTAGATGGTATCACTGATAAATGATACTAAATAGTTAAAGAAGAAATAACACCAATTCTATGCAACTTCTTCCACAAATTAGAAATGGAGGAAACACTTGTCAACTTATTTTATGAGGACAGAATTGCCCTAATCCAAAACCAGATAAGAACTAGACCAATATAGATGCAAAAACCTACTAGGAGATAAGGTCCAGCAATATATAAAAAGAATATTATATCACAGCCAAGTAAGGTTTATCCCAGGAATGCAAAGCTGATTTATATTCAAAAATTACTTAGAAAAGTCATTTTTATAATCTGCCATAGTAGCCTGAAAAAGAAAAAGCACACAATCATGTCAACTGATCCAGAAAAGCGCTTGACAAAATTCACAAGTATTCATAATAAAAACTCTCAGCAAACTAGGAATAGAAAGGAATTTATTCAACCCAATGCAGAGCATCTAAAAAATTTTACAGTTAACATCATGCTTAATGATGAAAGACTAAGTGTTTTTCCCCCAAGACTGGGAACAAAGCAAGGATGTTTACTCTAACCACTCCCTATTTTTCATCATAGAGGAAGTCCTAGCCAATGCAGTGAGTCAAGAAAAAAAGTACATATAGTTTGTGGGGGAAAGGAGGTAAAACTATCTGTATTCACAAACAAAATGATTGATATAAAATCCTTAAGAATCTACCAAACAATTTTCCCAGAACTAATGGAACTTAGCAAAGTCTTGGGATATAAGATCAACACATAAAATTAATTTATTGTCTATACACTAGCAATGAACAAATGGAAACTGAAATTCTTAAAATGCTGTTTACAATAGGCTTTTAAAAAGGCACAGATCTAACAAAATGTGTAGTATCCAATTGCTAAAAATTATAAAATTGGTAAAATAAATAAAAGGAAACCTAAATAAACAGAAATACTGTGTTCACGGACTGTTAGACCAACAGTAAAGATGTCGGCTCTCCTCAAATTGATCCTACAGATTTAAAGAATTTCCAATATGAATCCTGGCAGGACATTTTTGTAGATATATAGGCAGTCTGGCCCTAAAAACTATATGAAATGCAAAGAAAGTAAAATAACAAAAACAATTTGAAAAAGAAGAAAGTTGAAGGAATCAAATCACTACCTCATCTAAAGACTATGTGGTATTAGCAAAGAGAGATACACATAGATCTTTGGAACAGAACAGAGTCCAGAAATAGATCTATAAAAATATAGGTTAAATGATCTTTTATATAGGTACAAAGGCAGTTCAATGGAGAAAAAGTTAATCTTTATAGTAAATGCTATTGGAACAGTTGGACATTCATAGGCAAAAAAATGCACCTTGTCCTTAACCTCACACCTCACACAAAATTTAACTCCAAATAAATCATAGATCTAAATGTAAGAGGTAAAACTATAAAACTTTTAAGAAAAATAAATAAGGATAAATCTTTGTGACTTGGGATTAGGCAAAATGTTCTTTTTATTTGTTTGTTTTTATTTATTCATGAGAGACAGAGAGGCGGGGACACAGGCTGAGAGAGAAGCAGGCTCCACGCAGGGAGCCTAACACGGGACTCGATCCCGGGTCTCCAGGATCACACCCTGGGCTGAAGGTGGCACTAAACCACTGAGCCACCAGGGCTGCCCGGCAAAATGTTCTTAAGATATGCACCAAAAGCACAACCATAAGAGAAAAAATTGGCAAATTGGACATCATTAAATTTAATCACATTTGTTCTTTGAAAGTCACTATTAAGAGAATGAAAATGCTACAGACTAGAAGATATTTGCAAATTGCCCCTGTGACTGTTGATTTGTATCCTTAATAAAGAAATTTCCAAATAGCAGTAAGAAAACAACCCAATTTAAAAACTGGGGAAATGACATGAACAGATGTATCACCAAAGAGAATATATAGATGGCAAATAAGCACATCAAGAGGTGATCAACATCATCAGTCATAGGGAAATGCAAATTTAAAGTAACATGAAATTGCTCTGCACACTGTTAAAAAGACCAATATATTTTTTAGAAATACAGTACTGAGTGCTGATGTTTTGGAGAGCAGTTAAAACCATTATACACTGCTGGTGGGAATGCAAAATCGTACAATTGGTCTGGAAAATTGTTTGACAGTTTCTTATAAGCATTTACCAGATCTAATAATTCTGTTCCCTGCATCTGCTTTAAAAAATGAAAAGTATAGTCATACAAAAACCTGTATGCACATGATTACAGAAGCTCTGTTAATAATCACCAAAAACTAGAAACAACCCAAATATCCTTCAGCAGGTGAATGGATAAACAAACTGATACATCCTTACAGTGGAATACTACTCAGTGATAAAAAAAAAAAAAATAGACGGTAGACAGAACAATTTGGTGACACTCAAAAGCATTATGCTGAGGGAAAGTAGCCAGCCTCTAAAGAATACATGCTACATGATTCCATTTATATGACATTCTGAAAATGGCAAAACTGTAGTGACTGATAACTGATCCTTGGTTGCAAGAGTTTAGGGGTTCGGGAGGGTGTGATTAAAAAGGGGCAGCAGCTTTAATGGGAGATGGAACTGTTCTGTATCTTGACTTTGGTCACAGTAATCTGTACATGTGGTACAATTCATAGAACTATTCCTCAAAGGTAAAGGTCACTGTTACTAAATAATAACACAACAGCGGACTGCTGCACCTTACCCACACTGAAATTGTCCTTGGGGATCATCTCGATTATCTGTAAGCAACTCCACCATCAGACATTTATCCAAGTTTCAGTAAGACTATGAGATTAGCATTCAGGAGGGCTAGTGAGGAATGTTTTGGCAATAAGACAGTTGCTCAGTTCAGCCACCTTGACTTTAGATATCAAGATATCCAAAATAAATTATTTTTCTGAGCAAATACAGTTTTTTTTCCAACATCTAGCAGTGTTAACTGTAGCATTCCACAAATATATGGTTGGCTGGTATATATCAAACGAATTAACTCTTCCATTAAAAAACAGTAAGCCTTGGGAACAGTCCTTGGCCTACAGTGTGTCAGATGGTTGTGTTAGATATGGACTCATGCCAGTTTATCACTCCTTTTTGCTCCCTTTGCTCCCCTGCAGGAGGTTGTGGCTCACTGGATTGCTGAAAGCCGCATTGCCATTGAGAAGATACGTCTGTTGACCCTGAAAGCCGCCCACAGCATTGACACTTTGGGCAGCGCTGCCGCTAAGAAGGAGGTGAGGCCCCTTGGACCACAGTCTGCCAAACCTTCAGTTCCTTTCACCCACTGGGCATTTCAGGTTTTGTGGTACCTTGATGGCACTCAGAATTTTGGAAGCTTCCATGTGATTTTAGTATCAAGATTATAAATATATGTCACTTTTTTAGGGAATGATTTTCAGGATGCAGAATATCTTCAGCATTCTTGGGATGCAGCAACAGAGTGTAGGGAAATCCTAGACTATGCAGATTTGGAATTATACCCAGGATGGCACTTTCTGCCATGTAGCCTTGAGCAAAAAGTATTTGACCTTTTTGCCTATGGCCTAGGGTTCTAGTGAAGAGTGACTAAGATGATAAAGAGTGCATAGCACTTTGCTACCACAGAGTATAAATGTTTCATGAAAGATGCCGCTCAGGACGCCTGGGTCACTCAGTTGGTTAAGCATTTGCCTTTGGCTCAGGTCATGATTGCAGGGTCCTGGGATCAAGTCCTGCTTCAGGCTACTTGCTCAGTGGGGAGTCTGCTTCTCCCTCTGCCTGCCACTCCCCCTGCTTATATACTGTCTCTGACAAATAAATAAAATCTTTAAAAAAAAAATGCCTCTCCTACCTTTTTATGTTTCTGGCTTATATGGAGTAAGAACATGATCACTCAATTCTAAAAACCAATAAAAATTGCTAAGAGAAAAGTGATTAATGAAAGTTCTTAAAATCTTTTTATGATCCCTAAGGTGATGATGTGATTTATCAGCTGCCTTAAATCCTTTTGGAAACAAGACAAGTTATAAATAATAAAATATGATTTGGAAGAGCTTTTTCCAGAATGTCTGTATTGACTGAAATATGGCCACTAGCCACATTACAACAGATCTCTTTGTTGGCTTCCATCAAAGATCCTGTTTCAGTGGGTGAATTCATGTGGGAAAGTTCCCTTGTCTCATTTCACAGAGAAAATACAGATTATATCAAATTTTCCCACATTGTGTATTGTCTAAGAAAGAAACATTCTTTTTATATCTTGCTTATGTAGATTGCAATGATTAAAGTGGCTGCCCCTCGGGCTGTCTGCAAAATTATTGACCGGGCGATCCAAGTATGTGGAGGTGCAGGCGTTTCCCAGGATTTCCCTCTGGCTAATATGTAAGTAGATGTCACTTAGTAATCATCTACACTTGACAGGCTTAGAATGGAATTAAAAATCTACAGCTGCTTTGATCCTAATTGTTTAAGAAAAGAAAGATATTAACTCGGGGGCCCTGGGCAGCTCAGTTGGTTAAATATCTGCTTTTGGCTCAGGTCAGATCGAGGCCCTCATTGGGCTCCCTTCTAGGCAGGGAGTCTGCTTCTCCTCTCCCACCGCCTATGCTCTCTCTCCCAAACAAATAAAACCTTAAAAAAAAAAAAAAAAAGATACTAACTTAAAGTATAATTCAAGGCTAAATGAGGTAATACAGGTGCCCAGTAGAATAGTTACTCTTATTATTACAATTATACCCTTCACTCAATGGTGTCAACTTTTACACTGAGGGGGGGCACATTGGGGTTCATGGGCTATTGAGGAAATGACATAGGGGTTCACCCTGAAACCAGAATGATCAGACAGGAGCACATATGGCAAAGGGCACCCAGAGCCAGGCTTAGGTATGTCTTTAGGACTGTTTGCCACCTCCACAGGGATGCCTCAGGCCAGTGTCCATCTCATGTCCAGATTCTGGTTGCTGGGAGTTGAGGAACTCTCCAGTGCCCGTTACTGCACAGTCCCCCTGATACCTTCTCTCCCACACTGGAGATGAGTTGGGTGCCCCACAGTTTTTCCCATCAATTTTTGACCATAAGAATGAAATATATTACCACATATTTATAGTGTATAGTGTATTATACTTCACTCCTTGTGGCTTACCTAAGATATCTCTTAGTTCTAGCAACTTCTAGAACCCTAAAGCAAACCAAGACTGAGATTAAGCCCAATGCACTGGGCCATTTAAGATTCCTCTTCCCAAAGTGAGAACTTTCAGTGGCTTACTCTCCTTGATTCTCTTTGTGCTCTTTCTCTTGTCACTGCCGTGGCAAGATTTCAAAAATGAATTGTCTTGGCTTAGAGTCAGAGTGACTGACGTTAAAGCACCATGTTCTTCCTAGATAACTCCTGCTATTCCTGCTCCTTTTGTGTTCACAGGTATGCCCTAACTCGGGCTCTGCGCTTAGCAGATGGGCCTGATGAAGTCCACCTCTCAACAATCGCAGCAATGGAGCTGCGGGACCAAGCCAGAAATGCGAAGTCCAAGATGTAGGGGGCGGCGGCGTCTCACCAGACACTTCACCGGCTCTGGCATTTGTGCCTTTTTCCAGCTTTGCACCAGTGTGAGCACAGGCTTAATTACTCATGTTCAGTAAAGATCTGAGCATCTGTTTTGATCATTGGGTATTATAATTTCAAGGGTCACAAAGGTTTAAGTTAAATAAGAAATTCTATAGCTGCCATCATTTAGCCTATTACCATGTGTTAGGCTTTATTTTTCAAACACTCAACTTGTAAAGAAATAATGAAGTAAACTAGAGAGCTAAACCATAGGCATAAACATATCTTCACTTACTGATTCCCAAGAATTGTTCCATTTGAGTAAATATTCAAGGAGTTATTGCTTGTATAAACTATGGTGGGCTTTAAGGGATAGTTGAACACTTTGTAGTACTACCATATTTGCACTGGAGAAAGACATGTGGCTGATAGAATCACTTTAGAATTCAAAGAAGCCTCTTCCTAATTCAACAGAAAGCATTTATACATAAAATCTGATACAGTTTCAAGTTTGCTATAAAACATGCATAGGGATTCCTGGGTGGCGCAGCGGTTTGGCGCCTGCCTTTGGCCCAGGGCGCGATCCTGGAGACCCGGGATCGAGTCCCGCGTCGGGCTCCCCGTGCATGGAGCCTGCTTTTCCCTCTGCCTGTGTCTCTGCCTCTCTCTCTGTGTGTGTGTGAGACTTTCATAAATAAATAAATAAATAAATAAATAAATAAATAAATAAATAAATAAATAAATAAATAAATAAATAAATAAATAAATAATAAAGCATATTATGAAAAAATATTAAGAAAAATTTTAATTATGTATACTGTGTTGATGAGAACAGTGGGTAGTTTAAGCTACAAAAAGTTCTTTAATTTTGAGAAGACCTTACAAACTGTCTTCTCAGAATTCCACCCCGTTAATATCAACCTCCTAAGTAAACATCCTCATATCTCTTTAAATCAGTGCTGCCCAACACAATGGCCACTGGCCACATGTGACTCTTGGGCACTTTAATTCTGCCTAGTGCAACCGAGGAACTTTTGATTGTTGAAAATTTTAATTAAATACTGATTCTTAACTCAGTTTTTAAGTATGCTTGCAATAACTTGGGTATGCGAATTGACTTTATCAAATGTAAATTTTCTGAAGTCTAAATACAGTATTTTGGCAGAAAATTTAGCATCCAAATTAAGAAACAGAGTAAGTGTAAAATGCAAACCAAATTTTGATGACTTAGTATGAAAAAAAGGTAAAATATCTCAGTACTTTTTAAGTAGTGATTACATATCGAAATGATAAAATGCAAATATAAGGCATACCTTGTTTTATTGTGCTTCACTTTTTGAACTTCTTATAAATTAAAGGTTTGTGGCAACTCTGCATCAAGCAAGTCCATGCCATTTTTCCAACAGCATTTGCTCACTTCAGGTCTCTGTGTCACAGTTCAATAATTCTTTCAGTATTTCAAAGTCATCCATTATTATTACATTTGACCTGCTGCAATCTCATGATTAAACTGGAATGGATGAGGTGTTGCTTCTTATGGATGGGCAAAGAAAGTTGTTTCTTGAGGTAAATCAAGATGCTGTGAAAAAAAAAAAAATCAAGATGCTGTGAAGATTGTTGAAATGACAGATTTAGAATATTACATTAACTTAATTGATAAAGCAGCAGTAGGATTTCAGAGTTTTAACTCCAATTTTGAAAGAAGTTCTCCTGTGGGTAAAATGCTATCAAATAGCATCACACACTACAGAGAATTAGTTCATGAGGAAAAGAGTCAATTCATGCAGCAGACTTCATTGTCCTATTTTAAGAAATTGCCCCAGCCATTTCGAACTTCAGCAGCCACTCCCCTGGTCAGTGAGCAGCCATCAACATCGAGGCAAGACCCTCTACCAGCAAAAAGACTCACTGAAAGTTCAGGTGATCGGGACGCCTGGGTGACTCAGCAGTTGAGCGTCTGCCTTTGGCTCAGGGTGTGATCCTGATCTTGGGATCGAGTCCCACATCAGGCTCCCTGCAAGGAGCCTGCTTCTCCCTCTACCTGTGTCTCTGCCCCTCTCTGTGTATCTCTCATGAATAAATAAATAAAATCTTAAAAAAAAAAAAAAGTTCAGGTGATGGCTAACAATTTTTTTTTAAAGATTTTATTTATTTATTCATGATAGTTACACAGAGAGAGAGAGGCAGAGACACAGGCAGAGGGAGAAGCAGGCTTCACGCACCGGGAGCCTGACGTGGGATTCGATCCCGGGTCTCCAGGATCGCGCCCTGGGCCAAAGGCAGGCGCCAAACCGCTGCGCCACCCAGGGATCCCAACAATTTTTGTTAGCAATAAAGTTTTTTTAAGTAATCGCTTCACCCAACGTGGGGCTCAAACTCTCAAACCTGAAATCAGAGGTCCCATACTCCACACACTAAACCAGCCAGGCAACCCTAAAGCATTAATTAAGGTGTTTACACTGTTGTTTTAGACAATGGTTATTGCATACTTAAGAGTACAGTATAGTGTAAATATAACTTTTATATGCACTGGGAAACCAGGAAATTTGTTTGATTTGCTTTTTTGCCACATTCACTTTATTGTGGTAGTCTGGAGCCAATCCTGCAGCATCTCTGAGGTATGCCTGTACTGAATTAAAATTTATTATTAAACTTAATTTCATCTGTTTCTTGTTACCTTTCTAGTGTGCATGCCATTGGACCATTAACTGGTAAAATTTTAAATGTTCAAGTGGAAATATTTTTATTTCTAAAAACTGTAAAACTCTTGTTTTAATTTCTTTTTTTTTTATTTTTATTTTTTTATTTTATGATAGTCACCGAGAGAGAGAGAGAGAAAGAGAGGCAGAGACATAGGCAGAGGGAGAAGCAGGCTCCATGCACCGGGAGCCCAACGTGGGATTCGATCCGGGGTCTCCAGAATCGCGCCCTGGGCCAAAGGCAGGCGCCAAACCGCTGCGCCACCCAGGGATCCCTAAAACTCTTGTTTTATTAGCATACACATCACATACATTTATTGATGTCCAAAGGTAATTTAAATGTCTTCCTGGAATGGAGAGCAGACATTTGACACAGACAGACCTGGACTCTGATTCCTGTGTGTCACATGGGCCTCCGAAACATTTGCCTTTGAGCCTTAATCTCTCTGCACCTCATTTTTCTTTCCCTACCCTGGGATTAACCATTTAATCTAGAGGAGCTTTACCTACTGAGAGTGTATTCTGATAATCATTGAAGCTATGTAGAAGCACTTAGATATTTCTGAACCACAATATTTTATAAGGTTTCCTCATTTGAAGCAGATAAAATCTTACAACCCAAGCTATCGAACCTTATTTCTAGTTTTAAAAGTTGTGACTTAGAAATCAGGATGGTTTCTGAACAATTAAAATTAAAGGTTGGGGCAGCCTGGGTGGCTCAGCGGTTTAGTGCTGCCTTCAGCCCAGGGTGTGATCCTGGGGACCTGGGATCAAGTCCCACATCAGGCTCCCTGCATGGAGCCTGCTTCTCTCTCTGCCTGTGTCTCTGCCTCTCTCCCCCTCTGTATCTCTCATGAATAAATAAATAAAATCTTAAAAAAAAATTAAAGGTTATGTCTGGAACTTAAAATTTTGTGGTAATTTTGTCCCGTATCTTTGAGGAAATCTGGTGCAATTGCTGGTTGACTTAATTCATCTGTTTTTATCTATGTCTGCCATATACTCAATCATCCCTATGGCAAGTCACTCCATGTGGCCCATATTCACTTCTCTCCCCTACCTTTCATTTGATTTACATACAATGTTACAAAGAATAGTGAGGGTTGTTTTGAAAAGAAAATTCCAGTCTCCAAAGAAGGAAAAGATGAGGGATGCTTTGCCTTGGCCCATGGTGAATGAATGGACTGACTGTAAGCATGGGGCTCAGAGCCATTTCTAGGCTGTCCTCAGGCTGGCTGTCCCTGGGAGTCACTATACAGCAGTACACCTGAGACAGTCAGCCAGGTTTGCCATGCTACATGGTTTTGAAATGACAAGTTGCCCTCTTTAGTAACCACCTGGCAGGAAGACAGGAAGAAGGAGAGTTCATCAGGCAGTGTTGTACCCATCAAGATGTCTCCAAGATTTGCAGGTGGTCAGCAGCAGGGAGGAAGGGCCTCATGACAGCCTGACAGAGAAGTTTCCACAAGGCTCCACACAAAAGCAGTCATGGGAGTTGAGTAGAGCTTGTCCAGGGGTGTAGCCAGTTAATCTTTTTGATCTTTGATATTTTACCTTGGAAACATAGAGCAGAAAGTATGATCATAAAGAAGCGAATTTCCTCATCAACCTGTGATTATTTACAAAGACTTCCCCAAGGGTAGCCTCACCCCAGCTCTTCCCACAACTGTGATCTACTGACATGTCCTAGGCATGCCCACTTTTTGTCCAAGAGAACTAGAGTGGGTAAAAAGCAAAGTCTATAGCAGCATTTAGGGGATTTTTTTCAATTATTTTTATTTGTTTTTTTTTTAAGATTTTATCCATTTATTCATGAGAGACACACAGAGAGAAGCAAAGACATAGGCAGAAGGAGAAGCAGGCTCCCTCTAGGGAGCCCGATGCAGGACTCGATCCCAGGATCCCAGGATTATGACCTGAGCCAAAGGCAGAAGCTCAACCACTGAGCCACCCGGTGCTCCTTATTTCAGGTTTTTATTTAAATTCTAGTTAGTTAACATACAGTATAATACTGGTTTCAGGAATAGAATTTAGTGATTCATCACTTACATATAATACCCAGTGCTCATTACAGGTGGCCTCCTTACTACCCATCACCCATCCAACCCATCCCCCACCCACCTCTTCCTTCCATCAACCCTCAGTTTCTTCTCTATCCTTAAGAGTCTCTTATGGTTTGCTGCCCTCTTTTTCCCTCCTTCCCCTATGTTCCTCTGTTTTGTTTCTTAAATTCCACAAGTGAGATCATATGGTATTTGTCTTTCTCTGACTTATTTCACTTAGCATAATACACTCTAGCTCCATCCACATGGAGCAAATGGCAAGATTTCATTCTTTTTGATGACTGAGTACTATTCCATTTTGTGTGTGTGTGTGTGTGTGTGTGTGTGTGTGTGTGTGTGTGTGTGTACACGTACCACTTCTTATTATCCATTCATCAGCTGATGGGCATTTGGGGTCTCTCCATAGTTTGGCTATTGTTGATAGTGCTGCTATAAACATCAGGGTGCATGTGCCCCTTTGAATCTGTATTTTTGTATCTTTTGAGTAAATACCTAGTAGTACAATTGCTGGATTGTAGGGTAGCTCTGTTTTTGATTTTTTGAGGAACCTCCGTACTGTTCTCCAGAATGGCCACTGTCTGTTGCCATGTCTTTTCCACCATTTCTTTTGCCTGAATTACCATGGTAGTCTGATTGGGCTTCTAGATTGTTCTCAGAGTAGTCAGCATGACCCTCTCAAAATGTTTCAGTGGCTTTGCATCTCATTTAGAATAAAATTCAGAGTCCTTGTCATGACCAACAAGGTTCTATCTGAGCTTGTCCCCTGACACCATCTGAGCTCATCCCCTGGCATCCTCCCTCCATCATGGCCTCCTTCTACTGTTCAACATGCAACCCCAGCCAGGCCTCTGAGGCTTGGTTCTTTCTAAGTTCTCTGCTTGAAAAGAGATTTCCAGATGCCTGCTCACAAGTCACCTTAGCAAAGGCTCCTTTCTTGACTACTTGCTCTAAATGAGCACCATTTCTGTGTCTGCCATTCTCTTCTCACAGCACTTAACACCTGACATATTTCATATCTACATATTTATGGTCTACTTACCACCTTGTAAGCACCACTTTTCCCTTCCTATAATCACCTATTTCATCTATTTTGTGTACTGGGGTTCCCTTCAGTCCTCGGAACCATGCCTGGTCTCCAGTAAGCACTCAAAAAAAAAAAAGTATGAATGAATGAGCATGGATGATCCCTGATTTGTAGTTGGTAAGAGGGCAAAGCATTTATTTATATGCCTGCAGATGGAGCAGAGCAGAAGCTGAAGCTCTGGCCCATGAACACAGACCTACAATGGGTTACAGGTAGCTGGAGAGGACACTGGTGCCCCAGCATAGAGGGGTGCACAGCAGTTTGGGCAAATCAGGTGATTGAAATAAGGCTTCATGAGTATTTAACAATCCAGGGGAATGCACACACTTTTTAAGTTTTCCTGCTTTCCAGTCCAATCTAATCAGCCAGAGTGCTGTCACCAGCACTCAGTGCAAAGGGAAGTCAGGACTCCTAAGAAAATAAAACCACTGTTGGTGATCACTAGAATTTCCAAGTTTCCAAATAAACAGGATTCTGGGAAGTGTCCTCACTTAATTTGGGGCAAAGACCATTTAGGGTTTGTGACCCTGCCTCAATATTTTTCTTTCTCTTTTTTTCAGTAGTTCTCATTATGTGTTTATCATGAAGAAAATTCACACACATTCTTGTGTGTGTCTAGTGTGATAAGCTCTGTGAAACAAGGGCTTTTCTCTGCTTATCTTCACCAAAACTATGTGAACAAACAAAGGGTGATTATCCTGGACTGCTACCTCTCTCAGGACAGTAGTTCAGCAGCACTCCTTCACCTGCTGGGCTGATGGCTGATGGGCAGCACTCCTTCACCACCCTGGTGAAGACTCATGTTACACTCTTTCAAAATGAGTGAAGGTGGAGATTGTAGATGCTCCTTCCTTACAATGCCCTTACCTCTCACTTCAGTTTCTACCATTCTTTGTCCTTACCCCACATCAACCACACTGGTCTTCTGCTGTTTCTCCAGTATCCCAGATTTTTTTTTCTTAAATTAGAAATATTTGTCTCTTATTAAAAATAGGGTCCTCTCATGAGGACAGAATGTGCAAGAGAGCCTTTCTGGGTTTTCTCATTCCAGCAGGCTGAGGCTGTCCATTCAAAATGTTCCTCCCTATGTAGGAGGGAAAGCTCTCCACCTTACTCTTGGGAAATTAGGCTAGTCTAATTTTACTTTTGATTATCCACATGCATAAGAAAAAAATCAAAATCCAACTATTAACAGGCTATCTATCTGTCCCTAGAGTCCATTTGGACAGACAGGTGTACGTAAGTCCCCGTCTCCATGTGCTGGCCAGGATTAGATGGTACCCTGGAAATAAGGTGTTCCTGGCTAGAGTTCAAAGACCTAGCTCTCAGTCACCTGGCTGAAAACATGCATAGTGCCTCTCATGAGAGTCAGAGATTCGCTCCTTAGCAAGGAGTACTCTGGGTGTAGTGGGGCTGCCATCTGGCCGCAGGTGGTGTCTGGCCTAGAAGCTGCTTACTCCATTCCTAATCCTTTTGAGATTCCTTAAGTTAGCAAGAGTGAATGCAAATTCCAAAATGACACACCAAGTTACACAAGGTTAAAGAAGTCATTAAGGCAACAGTCCCACCAACTCCATGCACAGAACTCTGACCTTCTCCTTTCACCCTTCAGGACAAGCTAGTCCTGCCCAGCACCTCTCCTCAGTGGCAGCTTCCAGCATGCAGAAACCTTGAGCAGTTTTTACCCTCGAAAATTGGAGTGGCCTAATTAAGGAACTTTTTGTCAACTTCAAGCCCAAGGTTCTACCTTAAGTTCTTTGCACTTGCTTTTCTGTTTGCCTAGAAATCTCTTTCCCCACCCCCATATTCTC